GTGTACTTCGTCGATCTGCCTGTTCTGCTCCCCACTCTGTCTCTGGTGAAGCCTCTCACCGCCCCTGAGCCTCTGGCCTGTACCCCAGTTCTTGTATGCATAAATAAATAAATCTTATAAAAATATAGTAAAAAAAAAAAACCTCTTACATTTTGAGCAGAATCCACATGAAAGAAACCACAGCAGATTCTGCACCCTCTGACTTAGGGAGATCTTCCAGTCCTCGAATAAAAACTTGGCTAATCAACTTGGCAATGAGGGCACTAAGGGAGAAAGAAATTGGATGCCATTCAGGAGCTGGAGGCATTTTAAAGCGGCCTTGAAGGAAGAGGAGGAGAGAAGGGAAAAGAAGAGAATGAGGAAAATAGGGAGGGAGGAAAGAAAAGCGAAAAGCACGGACGGGTGCTATGACCTCTGCGGAGATTATGCCAACACTTGGCACGCAATAGCCCTTCTAAAGTAGTGGATCGGAGGCACCACGGGACGGCAGCGACCGTGAAGGCAGCAAATCCGACCCAGAACTGGGCGCGATTACGTAATCTCGACCTGCGTTCCCCACCGAGTTCGCGTCCTGCGGACGCCAGGTCCAGGTGGGCGGTGCTGACTCGCGCGCTCGCGGCTCACGTGTTCTCTCCTGTCCTTCCCGCAGGACGTGCTGGGCGGCGTCCTCATCACCGGGGTCCTCGTGGCGCTCACCTTGCCCGCCTGGCCTCTCATCGACAGCCTGGAGTCGGCCAGCCCGCTCTTGCCGGTGTGTGTGCTGGTGGTCCCGTTCTTCCTGTGCTACAACTACCCCGTGTCTGACTACTACAGCCCCACGCGCGCTGACACCACCACCATCATGGCGGCCGGGGCGGGGGTCACCATTGGCTTCTGGATCAACCATTTTTTCCAGCTGGTGTCGGAGCCCACCCAGCCTCGCCCGGCCGTGCAGAACATCCCGCCACTCACCACCGACGTGGTGGTGTTGGGCCTGACCAAATTCACTGTGGGCATCGTGCTGATCCTGTTGGTCCGGCAGCTCGTGCAGAATCTCTCTCTGCAAGTGCTGTACTCGTGGTTCAAGGTGGTGGCCAGGAACAAGGAGGCCCGGCGGAGGCTGGAGATCGAAGTGCCTTACAAGTTTGTCACCTACACGTCTGTTGGCATCTGTGCCACCACCTTCGTGCCCATGCTGCACAGGTTTTTGGGGTTGCTCTGAGTCTCCGGTTGGAAATGAGGCCACTGGACGTGAGACAAAGACAACAGAGGGGTGGGTGGGTGGGTGCGGCTGATGACTCATTTTTTTCATAAAAAAAAAGCCCTTCTATCACCTGTCTGTTAACTGAGAAAAATACTGCTGCTACCGGAAAGGAAAAGTCTCCAGGTGAGTGGACTGTCAGGGCCGTGCTGCTGACGGAAGCCACAGCCAAGTTGTTTCGGCGTCCGCACCCTGTCACTGGGCTCCGGCCTCAGCTGTGGGCTGCGGGAATGTGGGCTGCCTAGGAACAGCCACCGAGAGCCCCTGGGTGCTGGAGAGCCATGAGGAGGCATGTCTGGGGTGGAGGCCCAGTTGCTCAGTTGTGACCTTGTCCAGGCCGGAGTCTCATTTCCCAGAGCCCTGCCCCGGGAGGGAGAAAGGACGACAGGTGTGAATCGCGCTCCTGCTGCAAGATGGTGTCCGGTCGCTGTGGTCGAGTGACACTGGGGGCCCCCGATGCGTGGTCGTGGGGAGACCCGGCTCCCTGAGTCAGTCCCTGTGGGCACACTGTGGGGTCTGGCGTCTCCTCTTCCTAGTTTGTCTACTTCACAGGGTTCCAGGCACCCCTCTTCACTCTGCTGAGCCCTGAGATACCTGGGCTGCTCCTGCCTCACCCAAAGCAGGTGCCTCTGGGGCTCGGTGTGCTGCTGTGTCCCATTCCCTGACTCGGGCAAGCCCTCGGCTCTTTGCAGTGTCTCTTCCTCCCACACAGACTTGGAGGCCCTTGGCCAGCATCAGCAGCGAGATCTGAAAGCAGATGAATTCATCTTGCTGAGGCTTGGCGAAGTGTGGGAATAAACCTCCTAGAAATGGTCCCAGGAATTTCCGTTGCTTTCTGTAAATCAGTTTTCTCATCTGCTGAATAGATGTCTTTCCACAGCGGATCTCTTAGCAATTTTAAGGGTCATGAACTCAAGGACACCTTCAGGATCTCTTAGGAATTCAAGCCAATCAAACGCAGCCCCCTATAAACCTCAGACTGGCCTCGTTGGCCCCGGGAAGGCAACAAGCATCCAACGGGGGGCCTCCCTCACAGGCCCCTCTTCGGTTCTTAAGAATAAGAACAGGTGTCATGTTTTTCCTACAAGCTGGTGGAAATATGTAGTTAGGAATGTATCTTGCATCCAGTATCTGGGCCGCTGAACTAGTGATTTATAACCAAAACACATCATCACCCCGCACACACCCGGGGCGGGGGCGTTAGTCTGCCTTGGAAATTAGGGCCTTACCTCTGCATCCAGTGTTGAAACCAAAACCCACCTGTGTCTGGATCTTGACAGTGCTCCAGTTTCCTGAGAAGAATTTTTAGTAAAACAGCCTGTTTTTCCTTCCAGATTTCCTCAAGTTTTTCATACCTAGAAGGCAGGAATCAGAGCAACCTGCCTTTTGGCTCTCTCTACATCAAATTCTGACCACGTTAGCAGCACCATGGCCCATGTGGGAGAAGGGAGAGAGCACAGGGTGCTAACCAGCAGCCCCACCTTAGGGCCCCAGTACCCCAGGGCTGAGACACCCCCCTGTAACTCCCCCTGCACCCCTCCTAAACCAGAGATCGAGCACAGGGTCCCACTGACCCAAAAGGATTTGACTTGATTTTTCTGAAACCAGCCACTGGTATATTTTGTTTGCTTGTTTTTTTTGAACAGGGGGCTTTATTATCATCAGCGGTGGCTGTGGGCACATGGCTCATGTGCGTGTGTATGTGCGTGTATGTGTGAGCGAGAGAATTTTACCCCTGTCCCTTTTGTTTTAAGTTGTGAATGTCAGCAGCACTGTTGTATTTAAAGCTGAATTTTACAGTGTAGACAGAGCACACCACATGCCTCCTGACCCAAGGATCTGTGTGGTCTGGTCGCTTTTTGAAAGTGTCTTAGTCCAAAAAGTGGAGGAATCAAAGTAAATAGGAACAAGGTCAAACTGCTTTTGAGCCCTCCGGCTCTCTGGCCCAGACCAGGCAGACTCTGGCCTGAAAGTCACGATTCCCGACCTGATGCCAGCTCCTGCTGCCAGCCCTTCCAGCCTGTCTCCACAGCACTCTTCGAGACTAAATTCACATCCTCAGCCACGCGCCCTCACACCACCCAGGTGCTTCCTTCTAAGCTTCTTTCTAAGCTCAACCTTCGGGCGCCTTGAAGAGCCTGGATTTCCTCGCTGGGGAAAGACTGCCCCCTGCTGTGAGAGCCTCCAGCCTGGTGGGAGACACGAAGACTGAAAGTCAAGATCTGCAGCTGCATCCAGTGTAAGCTCAGGACTTAAGGTCTAGCAAACCTGGCATTTGGAAGCTCCCCAGCCCTCAGGATTATGGAGCCTCCGGGAGCCAGGCAGACGGACTCGCCTCTTCCTGGCAAGGCTCATCCTGCCCCCAGCCACCTGCGCCCGAGGCAGGACGTCCATCCTACAACTTCACTTGAAACAGCTTGTCACTGCATGACAATTGTGCCCAAACCTGTATTGCATCAGAAAACACTGACAAAGGGAACATGGAAGAGATCCCTGAACAAACCCCTAAGGGACAGTGGCTGACCCACTTTATGGCTGCCCGGTGGCCGCTCTGCCACACGAGAGGGTCTCGGGGTGACTGGCGCTTCCCAAACGTAATCAAGACATGTGTTTCGGGGACCGTGTGCTCCGAGCTTCTATTTTGGAAGCTGTCAGTGGCTTGCTTATGTACCATATGTACATGCATTCGTTTGAAAGTGAAATTTTTTTGTTCGATTATGATGTCTCATTAAGTGCTTAAAAAGCCGGAGTTCTGTTTCATTTTTTTCACCCTCAACCTGTTTTGGGGATTCCCCTTGGACCTGGATTGAAAGGAAGGCACAATAATAAATAGGCTGTCTAATTCTGTCGTTGTTATAATTAAGTCACATGCAGGGGTTGCTGTCCCCGCGGCCTCAGATGTGATTAACGGAGGTGATACAGGCATGTGCTTTGCGGAGAGAGGCTGAAAAGCACAGTCTGCCGACTTTGGAGATGATCACTGCATGAACGCTAAGTGGTGTAGATGTCGCTCGTTAACGAAAAGGTTGTCACAGGTGTGTCCTCTGCTGAACCAAGTCAGCACGAGTCTCTCAGTCACAGCCTTGCACCCATGTGCTCCGCTATTTGAAATGGTCCCGAAAGGAGCCTGCTATCACCCCACCCTGAATGTGCCCAATCTCAGCTCATCTGGGAAGCCAAGCAGGGGCAGGCCTGGTTCGTACGTGGGTGGGAGAAAACTTACGGCAGGCCAAGGCCGGGACCCTGCCTGCACGAGGACAGCCTACTGCTGCGCAGGTGCCGTGGCTGCATGTGACCCAGGTGCTCTGGGACACAGGCTCAGGGAGTTACAGCTCCACGTGCCACTTGCTGAGGCTGCAGGGAAAAGCGCAGTGCTGGGGGAATTGAGGCAGAGGGATCGATTCCAGCTTGGGGGCTGCAGTAACTCAAGGAAGCCTCCTGGGAGCAGCAGCACCTGCACCAGGTTTAGGGAGCAGATGGCTCTGCAAGGGGACAAGCCAGGAGTATGGGAGGAGAACCCCGGTGGCAGGCCTGTGATTGCCAGAGTCCCTTCCCCAAACACCGCCAGCCCTGAATGAGGAAAGACCAAACCCTGTCGGTTCGTTTTGGGAGTAATGGGAGGCTGTGGGGAAAGGGGTGAGCCAGGCAGGGCCTTGATGTTGCCGGGCCTGGTGACAGTATTGGTCTCCTGGGGGCAGGGGCCCTCCAGAGGTGATGTTATCATTCCATTATTTAACAGTCCCAGAGTGCACCCCTGAACCTCACATGCCAGCTTCTTTCCGTGTGCTCCTATTTGGGGCTCATTCGAGCAGTGGCAGCTACCAGCTGTCTCTCCTTGGGGCCTGACCTCCTCGCCTCCTGTTGCCGCCAGGACTTACCCCATGGACCTTCACTTATAGGTATTTTGCCCTTGGCCTCCCTGGTGGCCGTGGGGTTATGTCTCAGTGCTACCTCCTTCGTGGCCTGAGTTCAATCCCCAGACCAGGGAGCTGACCCACATGGCGCAGCAGATCTCACCTGTCGCACCTGCTGCTCCCCTCAGCAGTGTATTTCAGTAGATCCACCTGTTCTGCTCCCCACTCTGTCTCTGGTGAATCCTCTCACCCCCACCCCTCACCTCTGGCCTACACCCCAGTTCTGTGCACAAAAATATGAAAATGGTTAGTATTTTGCCCTGATCCCAGCTCTTTGAGGAACCTATGTTGTTTTTTGTTTTTGTTTTCATTTTTTTTTAATGCTGATGAATTAGTCCTAATTAGTAAGAGGCCAGTTAGAGCCAAGTGGAATAGGGATGCAGAAGTGTCTCGTTTTGGGATGAAATGTTTTCTTAAAAGCTGCCTCTGCTTTTTTTTTTTTAACATGAATTTTAAGTGCATTGTGAGGTTTGTTTAAAAATCATGGCAATCCTTCATTTCTGTAAACATCAGACCCTTTCATGGATTACTTTGGACATCCCATGGAACCATTGTTTTCTTAAAGTGGGCGCACCTGCAGTACAGACTCTGCTATTTACAGGATGCAGATTAACAGCGAGAGTTTGACTGTGGACCATGAACAGAATTCTGGATTCTCGAAACTGTAGCCACATGAGACAAGGAGCTATACCAAGCCAAAAATCCTTTTTCCTTTTCCACGCCTGTCTATATGGCATGCGAAAACAAACAAGAAAGCAAAGATGCAGCCCAGAGTTCCGGCTTCTCTACACATCTGCCGGCTTGGCTGTGTCTTGCTGTGACATCGGTCCCCTTGTGTGGGCAGAGCATGAACCAGACTTGTTCCTGATGGGGTGCTAACAGACCTGCCAAGGCTGCCTTAACAGGGCTGCCTCGAAGGTGAGGCACCTCAGGGTGCCTCCTCTGGGCCGCAGGGGAGCAGCTCAGCCAGGGGACCCAGATGGACAGAGCAGTGAGATTGTGCGCGATGGGTAACACTGGCCATGTTCTTCCTTAGGTCCCGATAAAGCCATCTGGCCAGAAAGCTCTGTGTTTTTGCAGAGGAAGGAAAAGAAAAAACAGGTTGATGTAAATTCTTCCACCAGGTCAATCAATTCTGATGTTGTCAGATGGTGTTAATAGTCCCCCCAAAGCTTAATCTTTTCTATTTTTACCCCAGAGCAACGCTGGCATTTTCATCTCCAGGAATTCGAAATACACCTTCCTTGTCGCTGCCTGCCGGATTCGGCCATCCTGCGCCTCCGTGAGCACGTGGCACGCAGCTACAGCGACACCTGTCCACGTGTGTTCACGTTATCTGTGCCATTCGGACTCGGTTTTGCATTCCTCTCTCACTTCATGACAGGTTGTCTTTCCCAAGTTACTTGTGTGGTAACTTTTTACTGGATGCCAGATACTGTGAATTTTACAAACTTGGGTACTGGGTGTCTTTGTCTAACTATATTCTTGAGCTTTGTGTTGGGATGTGGTTCATCCCTTAGAAATAGTCCAGTTCTTCCAGGTCTTGTGCTGAGGCTTCAGGTTCTCCCAGGAAGAAGCAGAATAGCGTTTCGTCTGGAATTGGTTTCCCACTGGGGAGGGGAAGTCCCTGTGCATCCTCCCTGTGGCTGCTGTTTGCCCAGCTCAGCCCGCCCAGAGTCCAGGGCCCTCAGGGCCTCATGGATGTGGATGCACAGGAAGGTGCCTCTTGGGAACCGCCATTCTCTCCCAGGCAAGTGCTGATCAGGCGGGTGTGTGGGAAAGGGAGGAAGCGGGGCTCCACAAATCTCCCTGGGGAGCTTTCATCTCCCCTGCCACCTTGAGCTGCAGGGGCCTCTGCAGACCCCCTGCCCCATCTGTCAGCTCCTGGCCAGCTGCCCCATGCCTGAGGCCCCTCCCAGCCGGCTGCCTGCTCCGACAGGAAGCTGGGCCATCCCAAGGCTCCTTGTTTGTTTTCTGTTCCGGAATCACAGGCCTTTGCTGAATGGCCTGGAAAACCACCATTTTATTTTGCTGGGATTTGTGAGTGGGGAAGGCAAAGTAGGGAAACACTCCTTTCGAAGGAAAAAGGGAAGAAGGCCGGTATCTCTGGCTTAGGGAGCATACGCGAGGGGCCCTGGAGATCAGAGGATGGGTCTGCCTGACCCATGGTTGTTTTCCTTCAGCTCAAATGCTGTTGGCTTGAATGCTGGCCCAGCACTCACAGCTAACTCCACCCCCACCTCGGAGTGACCTTTACACAGGTTTGCGTCCTTCAGCACTGGCTTCTTGCTGCCCTCAAGCAGGTAGTTTTAGGGACAGACATATTTTCATTCCAGCGACAATGTTGTGACTTGGGGGAATGCAGGAAATTTTCTTGTGCTATCGGGTCTGTTGTCAAGGGGGCACACTTCCATACCTTTTTCTACCTCACAGGGCAGTTGCCTGTGTCTGTCCACCAGGTGTGACACCCCAGCTGTGGCAAGCTATCCTCACAGGGCCTCCTGGCTCGGGGGTTTTCCCAGAATGCTCTCTAATGCAGAATCATGTCATGTCCCTGATGTCTTTACAAAACCAAACCTTATGGGAGGGGAATGAAATACTTGAGTGTGGCCTTCAGCATACTCTTACCACACAGGGGGTCACAAACAGAATTCATTAAGTCCTCTGCTGGAGATATTTGTTCAACCCAACCCCTTACAATTCAGTCATCCTTTCTGTTTACTAGGAAGTCGGAGAGTTGAATATGAAAACAACCGGCAGCATCAGAAACGGAAACTGCTCTGGGTCTGCTTTGCCCTTGCTGTGGCCCGACTCGCTGGGCAGACACTGGCATCCTGCCCGCTTGTCCACAGAGGTTGATTTTCCCCAGCCAACTTTGGTCAGTGCCTTAGGGAGCAGCTAGCAGACCGTGTTATTTGTATTAGAAGTTCTCAAGCCCAGTCGGAGCCATGTGACTTTCAGGTAAATCATTCATTTCTCAGGTCAATTGTCATCATAATTCAGAGAGAACTCCTATTTTAACTAAAAAGTAAAAGCCGAGGTAAGACGCGGTGTGTGCAGATACATTCTAAATGAACAGATATGTAGGAATGTTAGGCTGCAGCAATTGTAAGAACCGATCATACATCCTGGGTTGTCAGACAAGTTGTGATCCATTTGTCTTGAAAAACATAAAAACTGCATCATGACTTTTCCGAAAACTGAGTAATTTTCCTTCTAATACCAGAACCCCCCATTTTCACTAAATAGTGTCTTTGCTGCTGAAAGCTCTGACAGTGGCCACAGTCCTGGCTCCACTGCCAATGAATGCCTCACCCCAAAGCGCGTAAGATGATCTGGCTGTGGAGCTTCCCACTCGAAAGCTGAAGGTTCCCCTTCTTCTCAGGTCCCTGGTCTTGTTTTTCTTGTCCATCTGCTTCAGGGGGCAGAGCCATCTGCATGATGGATGGAGTTTTTCCCTTTCATGCTGGGATATACAATTAGGTACCAGTGGGTTTTTCATTACAAGTAGTTTCTAACCATCAAAAAAATACCCAGGTGGCTGGCTGGCTGCTAACAGAGCACAGGGCTCCACCCACATCCACAAACCAGCCATGATTTTAACCACAGTGAACCTGAAACTGCAGAAGCTTCGCTCCACCCCGGTGGCCCAGTAAGCCACTTTGAACAGACGAGCGAATTGTAAAATTTGCGTTCACTGCCTTTTGTGTGTATCTTCTGTTGTTGCATAAACTTAAGACACCACAGGTTGCATTTTTCTCTCCAGCTTCAGTGAGGTTTAACTTACATCTTAATTACCACCTCCATTGTGATCTAGAATGTTTCCACCACCCCAGTTTAACCCTTTGCGATCAATACTCTTCCATGAGCTCCAGCATCTAAAATGCCTTTGAGTTTTCTAGAATTTCATGTAAATAGAAACATGTAGTCTTTTCTATCTGGTGAACTTCATTTAGCATAACGTTTTGAGGTTCATCCCTGTTGTTTTATTTAAGTATCAGGATAGTTCATTCCTCTGTATTGCTGAAGTACTCAAAGATATGCTATTATGGATAAGCTAGAATTTGGAAAACTAGAATCTGTTTTATACATTCATGTTGGTCATGATTTTGGTGTCGCTGCTGTGAATTTCTGCATGAAAGTTTTACATGTTTCACAGGTGAGTTTAGGAGAACACTGGCTGGAGTGTAGGTGTGTGCTTCCTATTGTGAGCCCCTGTCCAGCCGTTTTCCAGAGTGGTTAATAGCATTTCCCATTCCCGCCGACAGAGCCCCACCACGGTCCAGGTGCTCATCTCAACCAACACTCGGTAAATCAGTCTTTTTAATTTCCTATTGCAGTTTTTACCCTTATTTCCCTGATAAGGATGTTGAGTATATTTTCCTGTACTTGCCAGTCACCCACTTATCCCCTTTTAGAAAATATCTGTTCAGATCTTTGTCTAGAAACTGGGCTATCTTCCTGTTCAGTTCTAAGAAATCCCCATGAAGGCTGGGCCCTGTCCTTTAGACAGCATTTTTTTATGAGCAACCTCATTGCATTTGTTAACTGTCATAAGGACCTGTTTATTCCTTATTCTCATAAGGAACTGAGGACTAGGTGAAAGTCTGTTCATGGACCTGGCACCGTTGGACTCTGCTGCCCTGATTCCAGGTGGCAACAGGGCTGGGTTTTTCCTTAGGTTTGCCAAAACTTTTGTCCATATTTGTTAGCTATCTACCAGGATGTCTGTTCCAGTTTTACATTTTATTGTTTCAGATCATCAACAGTAACTGGGAATTCTTCTCAAACATTACACAGTTCAGTAGATGGTACCTCTAGAGAGTCTTTACCAACTGAGTAAATTAGAAGGTAAACAGGAAGGACTGGCAAAGCTGGCTTCTAAGGAGACCTTCTAATACTTCCCTGCAAAAGAAGACAAACGAGTAGTCCCCAGTAAGTATCTTAGACTAGGATTTTAGCATAGTACAGCAAAACCGAATGACCCTGGGTAAAAAGCTTTCCACTGTTTTGTATCTTTGTACTTCACAGACATTAGCATATCCATCTGCACGCTTTGCACAGACCTATGCTCCAAGTACAATCTCAGAATGTCACAGATAGTGGTTTTTCTGTAACTGTTTATTATTTCCCAATGATGAAAACATGTCAACAAAGCCCGAGTGCTTCCCTGGCAAGGCTGTTCCGGAGCCCTCACACCACCTTCTGCTTTAGAATGACTAGGGGACAGCAGTGGAGAAAGACACCCAGGGAGGGTCACACCCGAGATCCAGCTTCACAAAAAGGGCTCGATGTTGATTTCCAGGGAGGAGCAGGGCATGGTCAGCTCAAACTTGGTGATAACATCAGGGTGAAGGACCCCCAGCTTCCCGATGCTCTGACCCCTGGCAAAGATCTCTGCGCATCGCCCAGGGAAGAAAGCAGAACCTGAAAACAAGAGTGAGAGAAAAATCAATACTTCTCCTGGCAAAAAAGTCAATAGGCATTTAACACTAAAAGCTTGCCAGTCTACTTTAAAAATAACTGTCTCTTACTCGTGGCGAGGAAGTGAGAGTACTTCCTCACACTTTCTAGCCTTAGGAAGTAGTATTTGGTATTACACATTGAAACTCTTGGAGGGCAAAGGTTAGGGGCAATTCCCAGATAAGGGCTGAGTGCTGCTTAGCACAGGTGTGAGGGATGAAGCAGCGTGTCAGGAGAAGTCTTGGGGGGCTGTTGCCCGTACAGACCTAAGACTGGTCCTAAACAGGACAAAGAGAAAATGAAAAGTTTACACAGAATTTACCCCTCAAAACATCACTTTCCTACCTTGTAGCACAGAAACCCACGCTGCCTGTCAGAGGCAGGTTAGGCCTTGTCACCTGAACTCCACCCACATTCCTGATGGAAGAAGCTTTCTGAGCAGCTGTGGAGCGTCCACAGAAAACCACCGCAGAGGCCCGCACCCAGCAAGTCCGCAGGAAAGCAGTCTCCTGTGTGCCCAGTAGGCGCCGGGCTTACCAAGCTGGAACACTTGGGTGAGGTTGAACTGGCTAAGAGCACAAACAAGCAAAAAGAAGATTGCCCCACAGTCACGGCCTCGCCGGTACCACAAAGCAGCAATGCTCGGGTACTCCAAAAAGTTAAAGAAATGCTGACTCACTTCTCTCACCACCCACTTGAAAAGGGATCAGGCTCAGAGCTCCCAACTGATTCAACTGAGACGTTTACTGGCATGAACTATAAATACCCGCCACAGACCTCCGCCTGCCATTTCAGAGTGCATTATTCATGAAAGAGTAAATCGCTGAGGCTCTGCTAATGGCTCCAAGGTCAGCATAATGAGGAAATGGGGGGCTGGGGGTGGCTGGCACGCTACTGACAAGTTAGTACCAGCTATACCACAGACACAGAGGACGACTACGCGCAGTTCCCAGTCAGCACCACCGGGAAGATTTGCTTAGATTCCTAAAACATTTTCCTTGTTATGCTTAAATACTCCCTTAAGCAACCTGGTTGAAATATAAGATGGCCTGTTTCTCACAGCCCACCCTGAAGGAAACAATTCTGCTTCACTGTGTATTAAAACAAGCATTTCTCAATGAACTATACTTGGAGTTCCTAAGTATCTATGTGCGCAAATCCACACTTAGGGAAAGTCAGAAATCACACTGGACTGATTGGGTAAAGCCTCGGGTATGGATATTGTGAAGTCGATAAAGATGATGTATTTTAATTTTATCAAAATGAAACCTATCTTAGAAGATGAAACTAGACCCTGCCCCCAGCAAATACATCTTCAAATGAGAAGTCAAGTTTATGGGAAAAGAGCTCAGGCCCCTCACAGAGAACTGGCTCTCAGCAGCCTACACAGCCTGTCTGCTACAAAGCCCCGGCCTACTTCTAAAGGCTATTCAGAAAGGAAGTTTTCAGGACCTTCCCTGATAACCTTGCTATGTTTAAGAATTCTCACTGCACCAAAATCCATCCTTTTATCTATCTACAAATTCCAATTTGATTGGATTCATTTTTACCGAAGCATAAAACCAGACTATTTTAGAATCTAAGCCAGATGTGCTAGTTCTGACAATGCTGGCAAAATAAAGCCTAAGAGATAAGAACTTAGAATTTTTACTCCATAAAACAACATCTGAATCAGCACTGTACACAAACCCAGTACATTCTTCTCCAGCTAGCAAGCTGACAATGCCAGCTGCACCTCTCCAGAAGTTTGGACCAAATCTTGCTCATTAACCAGTTAGGAACTTAGGCAAAAATGTATCACTAAGTACAACTTTCCCTTCCCCCCCAAAAAAAGGGGGAATGAAACCGAAAATTCACATTATACTATACAACTGCAATTAGCATGTTCCATATGGTAAACACGGCTGACTCTGGTCAGGGCAGCGGTCTGCCTGATCCACTGGCTTCCCACAGAGCTGCTGGGCTGCAGCCCTTCCGCAGGGGTAGGTGCGCAGAGGGTCCTGAGATCCAATGCTAATCCTCACTCACTCAGAGGGGAAAATGCGACCTCATAACAGGATTTCTATCTCAACCCAGGTTGTTGAAAATGGCCTACACTGACCTATGATGATAATTTTTAACTTTTCTGGATTGTTTCCCTTTCTAACAAGCTCAGATTGACATGAATATGCCTTATGTTTTCCTACTGGTTCCTGTTCAGTTCTAGTAAGTTCCATTCTTTACATGCACAAGTTGAGGAGCCTTCAAGTCTGCAAGGGAACCTAAAAAAGTAAGTCACCCCTTATGACAGTCACTGAGGCTGGAAGCTGCATCCAGTGTTGTAAACAAATGTTACTCCAAGGGGGGAGAAAAGGAAGAAAAACTAGACTAGACGGGAAAAAGCAGCACTTGACTGATGTTGCATGTGAACTGGCAACAACTGAAAGAAATTTTAAAATTATGAAAACACCAGTGTTTCTCAGTGCTTTTCAAAACCTCCCAGGTTCAAACCAGACTGCAGGCAAAAGTGAACTGCTTCAAAGAAAGGGCAGGGGACTGAGAATAATGGCTTCACTAAAGAACAAAGAGAACGCACCGGAAGGCAGCGGTTAGGTGGGTTCAAAGAGGGGGGGCAGCTCCAGCATCAGCAGGAGGGGCGTTCACTCCTAGGCCAGAGCCCACTGCCAGGGCTAGGGCCAAAGCATCTGAAACCAGTCTTTCCAGAAGTGACAGAAGTCCTATCTGAATGGAACCTAATTACAAGACTAGCCTTGTGAAAAATCAGGCCTGATGGTCCTCAAGCATGTTCTTACCAACAAACAAAAACATTTCTGGAGAAAAAGCACCCTGGTGGGCCTAGAAACGTGAAGTCGCCAACTTGGAAAAACATGATGCCTTGTGATAGGTGCTCAAAAACGTACATTCTATAAAATACACTCATTCATGTATTTCAGCCCAACAGATCTTGGTTTAGCAGGTGCAGAAATACTTCAGTTTTCAAGCTGTGCCCTCCAAAACTGCCCCAGCTTAAAGCTGCTCACCTACTCTTCCACCTTGTTCCTTGGACCAGTTAAGCTCTCTGCAAGCTGGTGTCTGCCACAGTGGCTCAGCGCCCAACACAAAGGAGGTTTTGGGAAAAGTGTTCTCCACTGAAATACACGTGGAGACCCAGACAAAAGAAACACCAGTTAAGCACAAATAAGAATTTAATTTCCAAGACTTAGTGGGGTGTAAGTAAGTCCCTTAATTAAAGCTTTTGTAGCATCTCCTCCAGGTCTATAATTGTCTCTCTGTGCTCCAAGGCAGAACCACTCTGAGGCCCTTGGGGGTAATTCTTTGGCCAGTAATCCAGCCCAGTGCCCAGTCTTTAGCACATTTTCTGGCTAATTGACCTTCAAAGGGTTTGTGAGCTCCCTCTGTCGCTGGTTGCCAAACACCTTCCACAGTTTCTTTTTGCCCCGTCTTTCTTTTCGAGTAATATTATAGGCCCCAAGTTTGGGTAAGCTTTACACTAGAGTCATTCCCATAATTTCATGAAGCATCGGAAATAGAAGCTTAAGGCGGTAACTGATCAGACCCCTAATCTGAAGGCTTGATGTTGTTATCAAGTCTAAGGTTATTAATTCCTTCATCTTAACCACCCTGCCATTGGCTATATTCAACTAATTCATGCAGCACTTTAACCTAGCTCTAAAAGCCATCTACCCATACCATTTTACTTTTCCCTTGCTTTACAGTGCTACCATGTGCTTTGAGTGTTCAAACCTGTGTTATAACTGCCTGCAATCTGGTAACTTACTAGTCAAATGTTCTAACAAAAACACAAGAACAAAACTGAGGAGTAGGGGAATACCAGAATAGAATGTTCCTATAACACATGTCACAGCACATAATAAAAACTGTCATTGTGCGCTCAAATACAAATAACCATGCCTTAAGTCTCCAAATTCAGGGACAAATACAAAACACAGAATTATATAGACAGAGGTAAGACTGACCAGCCCCGTGTATTTTGAATCCATGCACTATGACTGTGGGATGGGGAGGAAGAAGCATATTAATAGCCGGGCTCTGGTACCTATGCAAATCCTACCCTTTCCTAAATAAAATAATCCATTCCATCAACTCATCTTAGGAAATCGCACACACACAAAAGGGAAGAAAAATCCAAGTTCTATCCTGGAATGAAGCCGACTGAGGAGTGACAGGCTTTTCACCTGTTTGCTGATACTCTGGGAACGCAGTAGCCATAACTAACTCTATTACAGTTCATCAACCTCATCTTCCTCCTTTAGATACCATTCACCTACAAGGAGAGGAAATCCATAACCCGCTTCCAGTGGGAGGGTGTCATTACTGAAGACGGTGGTTCTCCAAACGCAAAGCAGGGGCCTCTCAGCACCACCGGTGGGTTCATCCAAGGGCGGAGGAGGCACAGGGAAACACATTCACACAGAAAACACAGCAAGGCTTAGAACGATGAGGAGAAAAAATCAACACGAATACGACTGGATATGAATACATTCCCCCAGATCAGTACATACTACTTTGGGAGAAAATA